CCCGGGCATCCGGCCCAGGCGGTATAAAGGAGGCCGCCAGAGCCGCTGCACAGTGTTCGAAAGCTTGAACTCATACGAAGTATCTTTAACCACATGGAATGAAGCTAGAAGATACTAACTCAGGAACCACTGGAAAACAAAAAACTATACTGAAACTAAACAACACACTTGTAAACAGCCAACAGACTAAAGAAAGGGCTCCTGGGCTCCAACTATCACTCGTGCTGATGCTGACTGGAGCCAAAGAGTAAGGAGCCGAGACACCACGCATCCCAGGAGCCTAGGACCCGAGAAGCCGGAAGCCCAGGAGCCCAGGAGCGGCTTTGCGCTTGGCAAGTGTGCCCTGAGGAGGAAGCCTGCCTGCTCCCTGCTGCTGCGGGACCATGTTTTCTTGGCTTGTGGCTCAGAGATGGGGACCTGACATGGGCTGCTTCATTCCGTCAAGGAGGACCAGGGCTTGGGCAACTCCCCTGCTCTGGGCCAGCGCAAGCACAGCCAGTGTTGTTGTGTCTGGCCGGCAGGTATTGGAAGGAAACTAGTGGTTTTTACACAATTATTATTTTTTCGTTTGTTTTTTGTTTTTGTCTTTTTGAGACAGGGTCTCACTCTGCAGCTCAGGCTGGCCTTGAACTCACTTTGTAGTCCAGGCTGGTCTCCAACTCGCCATGATCCTCCTGCCTCAGCCTCCCAAGTGCTGGGATTACAGGGGTGTACCACCCTGCCAGGCTTGCACAGATTATTTGTAATTATTGTGTCTCTTCTCCCTCCTTTGTTAATTTGTGCAATACTTTTGTTTATATGGGCACGGACTCTTGGATTTTAGTTTTATAATTTGAGATTTTAAGCAGTTTTAAAATCTTTAAATGTTCAGGGCATTTTTTCTTTGTTTTGGAGGTTTTCTGTTTTGTTTTTGTTTGCCTTTTATATGAAGCCCTGTCTCAATTTTAAAGTGTTTACTAAGTAGAGCCTAGGTCAAGATTTAGGTGTTCCTTTTCTAAGATTTAGTTTTGTAAGTTTTAAATCACTTGTCGGCCTTTTGGCTAAGATCGAGGGTAGTTTTGTAAGTTTTACTTTACTATCCAGTGGCACAGATGAACGACATCTGATTGACTTGCGTGGGAGGAGGGTGAGGGTCCTGGTGAGTGAACAGGTCCACCTTCTGGAGTTGGTTCTCTGGCACTGCATTTGATCCTGCTGTTCACCTCACAGCTGATCGCTGGTCTCCCTTCCGCCCTCCTCCGTGTCATATGTAGGTCACTGGCCTCATCTTTCCACACAGACCAACTTCCTGCCACTATAATTTGCCTTTAGTTTTTTAGGCCCTTCTTTTCTCCTGGGCCTCCTGGCCTCTCCATTCCTCCTCATCCTTCTTTAAGGTACTTAATTATTTTTATTTTTTCTTTTTAAGACAGGATCTTACTGTGTACTTCAGGCTGACCTTGATCTCACTATGTAGCTCGGGCTGGCTTCAAATTCACAATGATCCTCCTGTCTCAGCCTCCCAAGTGCTGGATTACAGGTGTGTACAGCCATGTCCAGGTCTATTTTTCATTTTATTTTTTTAAGCTCACTTCATTCTTGCAGAAATGCACAATATGCTTAAGCCACTCTTAGGCCCTTAGCATATTTTTTTCCCCCTTCTTGCTGTGTAGTTCAGATTAGCCTCCCAAAATGTACCTCAGGCTGGCCTCAAACTCATGGCAATCCTCCTGCCTCAGCCTCCTGAAGGCGGGGATTACCTATCAGTTGAGTTTTAATTTAAAAAAAGCTTTTATTTTTAGCTTACTTTGTCCCATTTTAATCACTGGGTCTTTTTTTTTTTTTTTTTTTTTTTTTTTTTAATCTTGTGCTTGCCGGGTAGGTGCGTTTGCTGCTGAGCTATATCCTCAGCCCTGGGTCTTTCATTTTGAAGTGATGTCCCTTTGATATCCTACTATGATAGTCGTCCCCTATTAAGTTTCATTGTTAAAATACTTTTGCATTACTATGATAAATCACTTTTGATCAAAGTGTATAATATTTTTACTACACTTCTGAGTGTGTTTTGATAGTTATTTTCTTTAGGCTATTTTATTAAGAGCAGTGGTCTATAGTTTTCTTGTGATGTCTCTCTGGCTTTAGTGTTAGGGTAATGCTGGATTACTAGAGTGAGGACAAGTTCCGTCTTCCCTCTTTGTTGGAGATCAATTGGTGTAAGGAGTTCTTCAATTTTTAGTATAATTCAACTGTCAAAATATCTAGTCCTGGTCTTCTGTTTTTACTAGGTTTTTGATCATTGATTAAATGTATCTCCTTTCCTTCTTACATCTGTTTATATTTTCTGTCACTTTTTCAGTTACTTGTTTGCTTGTAGCAGTTTGTCCATGTCCTATATTATCTAATTGATTGTTTACAATTCTTACTATTTTTTTCTTACTTCCTTTAAGTGCATTTCTCAGAGATTGCTAAGAATACTTCCAGTAGTGTTTCTGATACTGTCGTTTGAGTCTTTTGACACCTTCACTATGAGGCCAAAATTCTTACATCTTGCTTCCAGGTGGCTCTGAACCGGTTGTACATGTGTGACTGTCCCCCTGGGCTGCCTGGGTCATGCCTGCACCACCCATGAGTCAAGCTGGTGGGAACGTGTTCAGCTGTCTAGCTAAAGGATTTTCATGTCGATATCTTCAAAGGAACAAGTTTTGGTTTTGTTGTTTTCTTGTTTCTTCTTATTACACTTCATTTCCTCACTCTGATTTTTATTAAGTCCTTCCTTTTGCTAAGCATGGGTTTATTTTTAGTTGGGTTAGGTTTGTTGTACTAGAAAAGGTCCAAAGGAAATTTACTAATTTTAGATGTTTCTACTTTTACACTGGTTCATCATTCTCTTTGCCAGCAGTAAGAAAACCTTCACTGTAGCGGAAAAGCCAACATCAATCCAAATGGAAGACTCTTTGCACCGAGGCAACTTTTGTTACGCTAGTGGGAACCCAGAGGCTCAGATCACCAGCCCAGAGTCAGGTTTGAGTTCAGTTTAAATCTGGTTTGAGAATGGGAAGTACAAAGCTCATAGCAGGTCATTACACGACTGGTTACATGGACTACGAGAATTATGTCATATATTGTCAGGCAGGTTTACGTAAACATTGTTTAACGCTCTGGAAAGGAGGGGAGGGATGTGAGCAGAGCAAGCAGAGTTAAATGGGTCCTTGACTGGGCCATCTGTCCTAGACATGAAGTCCTTGAAGCAAGTTGGAAACAAAAAATATTTTTCTAACTAAGGAAAACAAGCTGGACACAGTCAAGCTGGCCCAGCGCATTATCAAAGAGCAGTAGATAGTCAAGGTTGACTATCTCCCTGACAGGCAGCATGAGTGTAGTCACAGGCTATGAGCTGATTTCTAACTTTTGCTGTAGTATGCGCCACAAGTCTGCTATAAGTGTGCCCTTACACCACTGCTGGGGGGCACTTTTGAATTTCACCACAGGAGGTTTATGAGACCTGTGATGCTGAATTTACAATCATTTGAGGTGAAAGAATGACTCAGAAAAGAGCACATTGGAGCAGACATAACAGAGTCAGCGAGCTCAGGGTTTGAGTCCTCACTCAGGGGAAGCCATCCAGGCCCCTCATCCAGGGGGTGAGGACCGACCACCTTCCCCGGCGAGGCCCACAGCCTTGTGCTCACCGGCTTTGAGAGCGAAGGAGCAGCGAAGGCAGCGGGAATGAGACAGATGATGCTTCTCTGAACCTCCAGGTTGCCCTGGAATCACCGAGGTCAGCACCCAGGTCATTTGTGGTTGACATGTATACAGGGCTCACAGGAGGTGGCATCTAAGAGGAAGTGGATGTTCTGTTAGGGCAGCTTTGGCCTCTCGAACCCCACGAGAGTGGGTCCTGAGCTGCTGGAGGATGATTTGGTGGCCAGTTGAGCAGCTGTGTGTGCAGAGGCCTGGACAGATGATGAGATGGCCCTTAAGGCCAGCTTCCTCCTGACTCTGCCCCCATAAGAGGCAGGGAGGCCAGGGTTAGAGGCTGCTTTGGTGTGCAGTTCGAGGCAGCCTTGCTTGTCTTGTCCTTGGGTCCCCCACAGTGCTGTGTGGTACTTGGGATCCCTCTTCCTCTTGAAGAGATGCCCAATACTGTCTTCTGGGTGTATCCGTTTCCTCCCGCAGCCCTTCCGTGTAGCTGAAACCGCTAACACTGCTGAGCCTGAGCTTTGCCTGGGCACCTTTGAGAAGTGCTATCTCTTGTGCTAGATTTGGGTCGCAGCACTGGGCATGTGGCTGGCTGTGGCAGAGGTAGTGGCAGTAGAAGTTCTTGAAGAGAAAAGAGCCTGGGTGGCATTAGAGACCACATAGGAGCTGTCCTGGTTCCCTGGGGCCGTGTCTGTGAGTGAGGAGCTCTCAAGGGCTGCCCGTGTTGTGCTGCTCAAGGCTGGCTGACTTGGTGTAGAGGTCGGGCCAGGCCTGCAGCTGTAGCTTCTGGGGCTGCAACAGAGACTGAGGGGTAGGTGGCTCCTCCACGCTGCTGCCCAGCGGTGGCCCCCAGTGTGGCCAGGGTGCCGGAGGCAGACTTAATGCGATGTTTCCCTTGTGTGGCCTGGTGGCTCAAGCTCAGTGCTGGCGGGGTGGAGGCTGTGGCTGTTCTGCCTGTGCAGAGGAGATGGAGTTCCCACCGGAGCCAAGGGGAGGACCCCAGAGGAGCAGATCAGCTGGGGATGTGGTGTCCATGGGGGTAACCCCATTGTCAGTCCCTGAGGAACGGAGGCTGTGGACGTGCTGGCTGAGGTGCTGTCACCTGGGCAGAGGCAGGGGTCAGAAGACTTCGGGAGACCAGGAGGTGCCTGGGAGAGTGGCTCTGGAGGCCACAGGAGAATCCACACATTTTGGCTGCGTGGACTTCATCCTGGAGGTGCTGGGGGTGGCAGGGAGGTCAGAGCCGGCACCTGCTGCCGCTCTGCTGTGGGGCTCAAAGGGCCTGGGCCCTTCTGGTTCTGAGTGGGCCTGACAGTGGGCTTCCCCATTCTCTTCCTGTGGGGAAAGACTTCCCCAGCTGGAGGCTCAGGCAAGGTGGGAGTCACTGTCCTGATGCTGTCCTTGGCAGCAGCAGAACCCGGAACAGGTGTCACCGAGGAGCCTGGGGCTGTGGTTGTGAGTGTGACAGGGGCCTGGAAGGGCCTGGGAGCTCGAGGCGGGAGCAGCTGCAGTGTGCTTCCTTCCAGACCTAGGATGCCCCGAAGTGGCCGCAGCAGCAGATGCCAGAAGGGCCCCAGAGACCTTCAGTCCCGTTCCTTTCTGTTCTTACTCTTCCCTGCATTCCTGCAGGGCTCCGCAGGGAGAATGGGTGGAGGAGTGATGTCTAGGGCAGGCTGGGAGGAGAGTAGGAAGGTTGTGCGGTGTTGCTGATCTTTGGGGCCTGTGACTTAGCCGTCAGCGAGCTGTTGATGCGCTGCAATGCTGCCTCCCTCTCCCGAGCTATATGTTCAGTGGTGACCTGATAGCCCAGTTTGGTGGCAGCACTGGAGGGTCCCCTTGCCCACGCTGCAGAAGGGGAACCTTGTGTTTTCCTGGCCTATCACCCTCTGCTGTGAACATGCAATTCCTCCTGGTTTCTGCCTGCCTTGATGT